AAGCTCACCCACCTCCAGTCGCTTCTGAGCAAAGCAGATCGTTCCATCATCCCTGAAGTGAACCGCTTGGTACGCGAGGTCCACGACAGAAGGAGATTGGCCTCACAGTGCGTTGAGCAGGACTCTAGTGGGATGGAGCGACGCGGCATTGGCCAACAGAGTTGACTTAGGCAGCACTGGTGTCTACATGATCGGCTTTGTTCACCGCACCATCCTGGAGCAAGGGCCCAGTGAATTTGATGAAACTGAGAAAAGTGTGCCGCTCGTCACTAGCTGCAGAAGCTCAGGCCTTGGCTGGCGCCGAGCAAGAACTTATGTTTTTGAGACTTCAATGGCAGGAGATGCTTGGCAAAGCCATTCACCTGCCGAATTTGCTCGGTTGACCAGGGCAGCTTTAGTGGTAGATGCCAAAGCTCTTTTTGACGCAGCAAAGAACGGTTCTTTGCAAACCAGTGCCTTTAGCATGAAAGATAAGTATTCAGCTCTTGAGTTTTGGCCTTAGTTCAGAACTTAGACGCTCAAGGCACTTAACTGCGTTGGTGCAATTCGGACGCTCAGCTAGCCGATGGATTGACGAAGGTAGCGGCTCAGGATCGTGTGAAGAAATTTCTTTTGGGCGGCCAGACGTGGAACCGCGCTCGCAAACTGCGACAGCAAGAGAACGCCCAAGTGTTTGAAGATGATCCACCAGCCGATGTCACCATGACAGACCTTCTGTTTTACACAAAGCTCAAGATCCTTTACTGAAGGTTTTGGGGGTGTGCAAGAATCTAAGGGAATCGAGTGTGAGCCGTTCGATTGAGTGTTCAGCTTCAGTTCATGAGCTTTGCATTTTCGCTTTAAAGGACCTTGAAAGGTGCTCAGCTACCGCAACCGACGCTGCCATAGGTGGTAAAAGTGTGTTGATCGAAGCACGCTGCTTGGGAGATTGGGTGGTGACCTGTGTTTGGATTGGACGACATCAAGGGCTTCGTTTTCCTGTTGCACCTTTGGTTGGACAAAAGCTACCATTGCAATCTGCACCTTGCACCAAAAGATTCCAACCTCATTTGTCAAACAAGGCACCTGCACGGTGTGTGAAATCTCCAGCACAATGGATGTACCTCATCTGCATATCCGTGAGGTCCTGACAGGACATCATTATATCAGGAGACAACCCCTCCATCCAAAACTGCCCTCACCTCACCCAATCCACCATCCCGATCAGTCTCGTTGTCGGACGAGATTTCACGCCAGACAACCATGATCTCTTAAGATCTCTCGAGCCCAAAGATCCAGTTGCTGTTTGGAAAAGACCCGCTTACAATTACATTTGCTTGTTTTTTTCGTGATAACCTTTCCAGCCGCCAGTGCAAATACAGAGCCTCCTTGAAAAATGCGATTGGCGCTGTGTCGTGCCTCCCTTGAAGGCTAGCAGCACATAGTCACATAGTTAAACATGACCATGCTTTGTTCTCATTCGCGATGTAGATATGCGGCAGGCAGTGTCCATTTTTTCAGAAGCGCGCCTGGTTTGATCGTGTGGAAACACTGCACTTAGTGCGTCCCGAAATGCACAAAGTCATTGGAGAGATCAGAGGTAGCCCGCATCGTGCCTCAAAGACCCTGAAACACAAGCTTCTTGATGCCACATGGTTTTGGCGCAAATGTAGGTCCCAGAGCGTTTGGAAACATTGAATTGAACCTGTGTTTTTTAGGTCATGTTTCAACCATACTAGCATGGTTTTGGTGACACCTGGCAGCCTGCGCTCCATCATCCAAATGAGCTATGACAGAAGGCAAGGACTTGGAATCATGTGGTCGAGTCTACCCACTACAGGAACACAGTTTGATACAGTAATGCATTGAAAATGCATGCTAAAACCCATTGGTTGAGGGGTTTTCCGGGTTTCCTATTTTCAGTACACACCCATATAGATATTGCCATGACCTGAATGCACCAGGCGAAGAAGTGGCAAAATTGCAGGCATGGTGCGGCACACCATTCCCAATAGTATGATCACCCACAAAAAATTGATGGGCATTTGGTGGTTCAAACCCGGATGTTTGCTTCGGATCCGAAACATTTGTCCAACACACAGAACCGTTCCAACAAAGATTAGGGCGTTTGGTTGTGCATAGCTGAGAACATGTTTGGCAACACACACACACATGCCTACGGTGATAGCAGTAATTGCATGAATCTTACAGAGAGTCTAAAGCCAGAATACGTCCTCAGGTGTTATGCTGTTCACGTTGCTTGACAACAGTGCTGGTTTTTCATGCATCATGAGGCACCTTTGCCCTCGATGCCCTCATCGTCAGAAGCTCCAGGAATCGGGCTCTACGTGCAAGGCCTCAGAAACACAAGGCAAAATACAAGCCTCAGACAACCCGCAGCAGTTGCTTAGCTGCCACAGCTAGTTGCAGATTGTTTGCATCAGTGTACTTTGACACTTTCCAGAAAATACGTTGGTTGGGAGATCACCAATGTGAGGATTTCCTTCACGGGCAAGAATTGATTGGCTGAGGTCACTGTGAGCTTTGACGATGGTCCTGGGCTGGGCTCCCAAAGAAGACCCAAGCCAACACAGCCTACTATTCAATATCCCTGGAAGTTGACCCAACAAAATCTCGTGTATTCAGCTTTGGCAACTGTGTGCGGCACATTGCAGCAAGTCCAGATTGCACTCTCAAGGCATTGTCAGACCTGTGATCTAAGAAACCAAGCAATGCTCAGGACTGGTTTGACAGCACTGACATCAGAGGAGAGCAGGGTGAGGGGATCTCAAAGAAATGAGACAGCACACAACTTCGAGAAGTCCGCCAGATTGAGTTGTTAGCCAACCAGTAGGCTAGAAGTTTGGGGAGCAAAGCGGGCCAAACCAAGATCGAGTTGGAAACTTAGTGAACCTTTTTATGTTTTTATCGTGGAGACGCATTGGTGAGTTGGTGATGCAGAAAACGCTGGCGGCATCACAAGCATCAGGAAGCGCAATAGATATCACCTGGTATGAAAGCTTTGCAATGATTAGATAGTAATAGTAGTTTGTTACCTCGAGCTCCATTCAAGCATATAGATTCGCCCAGGATGACGCTTGCGATGAACGCTATTGGAGATTCCAAGAGGTTGGATGCTGTGTTGCACGAACCATTGTGAGGGTAGCTCGATTCCTGAACGGCGGACCCGAAACGCCAAAAAGGGCGTTGCATGATTCAATGTTGCACGCACTGCTTCTTTGGTGAGCAGGTCCATGGATTTCCTCCACGATTTAAGGTGCTTTTCGCTGCTGCTCGGCCCAGGCAATTGTTCCTTGTTACACTCAAACATCAAGCAAAAAAAATTCAATTTTTGGGTTTCTTATGCTGCTGTACAACTGGGCCCAGTTACTTGTACTGGTACTGGCTCCCAGTCAGTGTCCTCCCTTGCACTTTGCTTCAATTTGCCATATGCTTGCTTTCCGCACACTTCTTGCCAGCCGAGGATGGAATGACTTCGTTTCTGAAAGACTTGTAAGGACCTCAAGCCCTAGACGGGCTGTTGCATTCGCCTGTGGCTCTACCTTTTTAGATTGTAGTGTCTTTTATATGAAATTATTATTAGTAGAATTATTACGGTTGCGCAGGTTTAAGGATAATCAGGTAAGAATCCAAGAAAAGTTGAACAATTGTTTCTGTTCTTCTTGGTGGACACGTCTTGTTTCTGTTATCCTGCAGTTTTCGTTTTAAACAACTTCAGGTCCATTGTTGCCCTTTCAGTTCTGTGACCAAGGCCAAATGCTGAGCAGGGTGTTCGGGGCGCCCAGAATCATATGGTACCTGATATCTTACTCAACCCTCTGAAGGTCCCTAGGAAGGTCACAGTACCTTGACAAAACTAGGCTTTGATACGGCAAAGAAAACGCTAATCAGGTCAAGTAAAGTGTCAAAATTGTCAAGTAACTATGCTCCTGAAAAAGACGAAACCATATATAGAGAAGATGGCTCAAACAGAATGTCAAGAGAAAATCCTGAACATCTAAAACCAGATGTTTGCTTCGGTCCCAGGCGGTTTGCCTTAGGAATGGATGTTGGGACTTTGCGATGGGTCAGACAGGACAGACGTCACAGACATGACAGTCAATAAACCATCAGTCCTCCATGTGCATCTTTTTAGTAATTGTATTAGTTAAACAGAAAAACATCAAAAAAAAACACACAGGTTCATGAGTGTTTATAGGAAGTTACTGTAGATGTTCTTCGTTCTTCAATGTTCATGTGTTTCTTGTTTGATTGGTTGACAAAGCAGAAGAATGGAAACTTGATGTTCAAATCAGGGCACCATCAGCTTCAGGAACCTTGTTCCCTGGCAACCCATTCAAGGTATTGATTGATGAAGATGGCGATGAGCTTGGGCCCCTGCGTGGTTTCTGGCTTCATTTCAGCTTGGCCAGCACTTTCCCCTCAAACCAGTAGTTGCGCATCCTGCTGTCCGGCATATGAGCTAGACAAGCACGTTGTTGCTCAACACTCAGATACAGGAGTGCTAATTCATTTGGTCGGTGTTTGAGTAAAAGATTGTATTGTTTTAAACTTAAACTGTGGCTGTTTGAAAGGGAAAAGCCGCAGCGACCACGTTAGTGCTCCAAACGCATTTTTCATCAGTCTGAATCAAAGGCTTTATGACGTTTGCTCTTAAAGCCCAGTTTGCTCAATCCTGGCATTTGCACAGCCGCAAGAGTTTGTTGTCAACGCCAGAACATCATTTGTCACCTTACCAAGGCACCAGTATCTCAAAGTCGAGCAGCTCGTGGTACTTGACCAGCAGGCCACCAGAGAAGCTTGTATGAGTTTGCTTTGGGTGATTTAGCAGGGGATAGCAGAGTGATTGCTGTGTGTAGCCCAATTGATAACTGAAGGACATTGTAGCACGATTGTGCTGTTCAACATGCCAAGGATTGCCAACGGGTATTCTTTCACAAGCTTGTGGCTCAAAGCGACAAAGCAATATTTCCAAGGTCAGACTTTTGAGATTCTCTGTGATGGCTGCGCCCACGCCGTATCCCTACCAGTTGCCTCAGACCAGCTCAATGGTGGTCGGATCTCCCTATGCCGCGTATTCCTCTCCCTATGCGTCCGTGGATCACTCCCAAGGCAAGTGGTTCGCTCCAGGCGAGGCACTTCCTCCTGGCTTTATTGCCATGCCGCACCCCGATGGTCATGCGGAGCCTCAGGCGACGTGGAGGGACTGAAGGGGACCAGGGCTTAGTAAAGCTCAAGGTCCAGGTTCCAAAGATGTTTGGGGAAATCTAGACAGAAGCGTGGAGCCATTGAGAAAAACAGGCACAGGCTCAACACATTGAAGCATTGCCAAGTAAGAAGGCTATGTTGTGTGTTGTGTGTTTTCTTCTTGTGTGAACAAGAGCAGTGTGGCAGGCTCATCACGCTGTCTCCGATGCGGTGAAGTCAGCCATGCCCGGTTTGGTGCCAGAAGTGACGAAGGTGGCCAGCGCGGCCACCAAGAAGAGGAGCGTCGTCGAACGTGTGGTCATGCCATGCTGGCCATGCGCTTTTGATATGGGCATGGGTCAAAACCTGGAGCCCTGCTTCCTGCCTGGTCCCCCTGGTTCCTGCCTGGTCCACCATGTAGCTTGACCTTCCAGGTAAGTCAATCATTGTATATCAATGTATATATCCTGGTCTTGACCCTTAGCCATATGGACTGCGCTCAAAAAGCCCTATATACTGTACTCAAAAAAGCTGATAAACGTAAACTGTTAAGGTCGGAGATGTGTTTTAAGTCCTCGTTTAGAAGCGGGCCCCCAGCAGACTATGGTGATCCAGCAAGGCAGCGCTAGATTCGCGCTAGGTTTAAGCAATCAGGAAAAAGACGAAACAAGCAGCCAGCAGGAAAAAGAAGAAGAAGAAACAAGATTTTGTTCTCAGAAGTCTCCAAAACGACATAGGAAGGACGTAAGAGCTGACTCAAAAGATTTGGATGTTGGATGGGCAGGTGGTCAAGAAATGGACCGTCGTCTAGCCGTCTAGCGCGGTGCTAGCGCGGATCTAGCGCCAGCCTAGCCCGGCGATTTTTTATTATGTCAGAATATTACTTTTCCTGCTTGCTTGCATTCTTCTTGTTGTGCATTCTTCTTCTTCTTCTTATTGTTTCCAACTGCAGCAGCAGGAGCAGCGGCAGCGGCAGCAGCAGCAACAGCAGCAACAGCTCCAGCAGCTCAACAGGCCCCTGAAAAGGTCCGCGCCAGACACCTCTCACAGCTTTTACAGTTGACATGCCTTCATGTTTAACATTCCTGTAGGATGTGTTGTTGATTGGGTACAGACCTCAACCGCCAGCTCCGGATGGCAGTGTTCTCAACCACGAGCTTCGGATGGCAGTGTTCCCCGCCGGGCCTCAACGCCAGCTTCGGATGGCAGTGTTCCCCGCCGGACCTCAGCCGCCAGCTCCAGTGTTCCCGCCGGACCTCAGCCACCAGCTCCGGATGGCAGTGTTCCCAGCCGGACCTCAATCGCCAGCTCCGGATGGCAGTTTTCCCCGACTGACCTCAACTGCGAGCTCCGGATGGCAGCGTTCCCCGCCAGACCTCAACCGCGAGTATTCCCTGCCCAACCTCAGCCGCGAGCTTCGGCTGGCAGTGTTCCACGCCTCCGGCTGGGAGTGTCCCCGCCGGACCTCACTTGCGAGTCAGAAGATATGCCAGATAGAACGCGAGAAAGAATGTGAGAAGATATGCCAGATAGAGTGCCAGAATGAATTACTGTAATGTCAGAAGAGATGCCAGAAGAATGTCAAAGATATGCAAGAAAGAATGTCAGCAGATATGCAAGACAGAGTCCCAGAATGAATGTCAGAAGAGATGCCAGAAGAAATGTCAGAAGATATGCCAGAAAAATGTGACAACAAATTGCAGAAGATATGCCAGAAAGAGTGCTGAAATAATGTTTCAATATATACATGCCTTAAAAATTTGTCTGATTCCAATGTCATGGCGGTGATCACTCGAAGTGAAGTATGAAAGTATATAACCAATTGTGTCTTCTAGGACTTGTTTTTATTGGTTGGTTCTGGCTCTCGGCTTTTGGCCTTTGTTTCACATGGTTTCTTGGCCTTTGGCTGGTTGGATTTTGGCGACCTTGTGTTGTTGCAAGTGGCCACATTGTCAATCTATGCTTCTTGCAACGGCCCTCGTCCTGTGCTGCTGGTGGGTACAGAAAGGAAGGAGGGGGAAACAATTTTGACGTGGGACCTACGTTTTGTGTTTTGGTACAGCCTAGAGAAAGAAGGGGCCATTGCAACTAGCATAATTGTATTGCAGTTCCTCCGCCTATTTGGCAACAGCTTTTAGCCACCCAATTCGCAACATCGCAAATGGTCAAATGCCAAATACACATTGGAGGGTAAAATTCAGACTCTTTTTCAGGGTTTGTGCGCTTGGGCGGGGAGACGCTGCCCTCCCAACCCCCCTCCCGTGTTTTACTTCTAAGGGCCAAACCCCTGCGTCGCCTTCTAATTTCAAGGAAATCCTTGCCCAAGAATAAGAACCAAAAGTGTCCTTTAGAAAAGGAGAGCGGGCGGTCATGGGGCCTGGGTTTTGGTTTTCCCAAAATTTTAGGTAATTGCTTCAGTGGCAGCCCCTCTCCATATAAACACACATATAATCTATTCCTGCTCTCTCTCTCTATATGAACAAATATATTATGTATTCCTGAGTCAGGGTCATTTTATTGTTTTGGAAGCAGCAATCAATCATTCAGATGGTTTTGAACAAGATAATTAGGAAAGAAGCAGGCCATAAAAGTGTTTATTTTAACAATTGTCCTCTTTATCTTTGCTTGTAATTATGTTTATATTTGGAAAGATTGTATATAGACGCTTTTATGTTACAAAAGATTCTCTATAGATCTCTGCAGATAATCACTTTTGGATTTACACAACTATATAGAAACCTTGTATGTTAAAAGCTGTCTTCTAGATTTCTGCGGGTAAGAGCTTGCATGTTCAAAGCTTTCCTTTGGATCTCTGCGAAAGTAGATATCCCATATATGTGTGTTTTCACGAATGGAAAGCTCTTGAAAGGATAACTTATTTATTGATATATAGCATGTTTTTAAATTGACATGACCATTTCCAGAGATCCAGAGGAAGCTATTGAAATGAACGCTTTTATATTTTTTATTGTAGAAATGATCATCCCCAGAGATCTAGAGGGATGCTCTTGAATTAGAAGCTTGTACATAAAACATGTTTAATATGTATATATTATCTCCAGTGATGACTGTAAATAAGTAAATCTAACTATTTACTCCAAAAAATAGTTTTAGTCGTGTTCCCAGCACTCCCAGGCAAACAATACTGTAAAACACATGTTTTTTGCATGTGTTTTCTTAAACTAAATAGACTAGAGCTAGAATAGAATTAGGTAGAACTAAATTGGATTTGAGTTAGAGCTAAGATAGAACTGAATTAAAACCGAATTTCAACTAAACTTGTATTGAACTATAACTATAACCTAATTGAAATTAGATGAGTTGAATTAGACAGGAAATGGAATTAAAATTAGAAGTTCGCAAGAATAAGATGTAAAACGCTTGAGCTACAAGATGCACAAGTCGAGGAGGCTTCGAAATTACAAAGCCGAAGCAAATGCAACAAGCATTGAATTAGAACTACAGCTTACACAGATTCATAACAGTTTCATGTAAATTGGAAGGTGTCATTACAGTTTCATGTCAAGCTGATTCGACATGCAATTGGCAACCACATTGATACCAATCAGAAGTTAATGCACAGACTTGTACATGGAGATTTCGACAAGGACAAATGGAGTGTTGGGCTCAGACGCTTTCGTTGTAAGAGCAAGGAACATATGCTTTTAGGTGAGACTTAGGCTCACATGCTTGAAGGTTGAACCAAATAGTAATAACACAGATTGACCTAAATAGGAAAACAAAAAAACAAAAAACCTTGAGAAAACCATAACAACAGGAAAAACAAAAAACTTGGGAAAGCCAAAAAAAACAAAAAAAATCTGGGGAAGTCTTGAGGAAAGGGGGGGTCCAGCCAAGAGTCTTTGAGAATTGTTGTTTTTTGTTTTTCCGTGGTTTTCCCAAGTTTTTTGTTTTTTCCTAGGTTGGTATTTGTTTTCTCAATGTTTTGTTTTTTTCCTAAGGCCTCGTTTTTTACTGCAAATTATTCAATATTTTTTGTTGCTTTGATTTTATTTGTTTTTTGTGGTTTTGATTGTATTTGTGAAAAGTTGTCTACAAGTACAGAAAACCAAAAACCCAGGCCCCATGGCCACCCCTGCTGAAAAAAAATACGCACACAAAGATCCTAAGTTAATTCTGATCCAAGGTAATTATGTTGCATCTCATAAATTGGCAATTGCCGTCCCTGTTGGCAATGGATGTGCTGACCCATCAGGAGCAAGAAGAAGAAGAGCTCGGGTTGCTGCTGATTCGTCATCAGTTTCAAGTTCATTTCGACCGCAAAGCCTGAAATGCCGAGATAACAAAGCATTTGACAGCCTGGGTTTGTCATGGCTACTGTGCTTTTGCGGATGCGGCCCTCTTGAGTGAATGGCGCAGTTCCTGTACGTGATTTGACGCCGATGGCAAGTTGTAGAGAGTCTGCCTACGTATTGTTTTATTTGCCAAAATTTTAATCATGTTTAAAGTACCAATTTGGTTCGAAATTGCCAAACGAATCTTAACTAAACAGGGCGACATGATCAGTTTGGCAACCCTTTATGGAACTAGAATGGCATAGACTCTCTGCTCTACTGGCCTCGGCCTGTACCTCATCCACTCATGCATTTGAGTTGCTGGATCAGTTCTCGACATTCGATTTCACGCGAAACAATGGAGCTGAACACTCTGACCGCACCCAAGGAATAGCCCAGAGAGAGAGAGAGAGAGAGTCAACAGAACTTGCTTTCAGAATCGCAAAATCTTCAGAGCTTGGGTCTCGGGTCTTGGCCTTGTTTTTACCATTTGTTTTGATCAATTGGCAGAAATCATTCTTTACCGGTATTACATGGGTTTTGCTACCTGCTTCTACGAGGTCTTAGGTCCAGAATCTAGAACACTGAACAACAACACTTTGCACAATGCTTTCAAGTAATAAGTGCGTTGTTTTTACATTCACTGACCCTCAGAGTGTCACAGTAAAAGAAACTGCAACGCGCGGCCAGGAGCGTGAAGAGTCAAAGGGGATGAGGTCGGTCCTTGTTGGGGCGATCACTGAACCAAACACAGTTCTTGGAAAGATCCCTTTATGACACATGAAGAAGATTAAATAATAATTGCTAACTCCAGATAACTGCTGGTCAGTCCGCTGGTCCTACTTTGTTTCATATCATATTCCAAATCCAGTTGTTGGAGGGATGGAGACGTTAGTTTTTGGCACTTTTGGACCAGTTTCATGGGCGTTGGAGGTTTCGTTGGTGGATATGTGCTAACGCTACTACTAGGAGCAAGGACGCTACTAGGGGCTCCTGGCCGTAATACTAGGAGCAAGAAGCTACTAGGAACAAAGGGCATCGCTACTAGGA